GGTCCATGTGAACTAGGGGACTAATTCATGATTGAAATATTTGGTCCATGGGAAGGAGGGAATAATTCATGATTCATGGACACTACTTTTCCAGAAATGACATGAAATAAACTGCAATTGATTTTTTAATTTAGTAGCGGCGTCTGTGTGGATTAGCCTGCAGGAATGTTCTTTTCTTTAGTGTTTAACTAATAACTATATATCGTTACCCACTAGCCCAATAACTTTCTAGCCTCCTTCTCAGCCTAAAAATTATATTGTTTACCGGAAGTTAGGGAGACATAATTGTAAGTGATTGATTGCTGCATATAATTAGAGGTGATTTATTGTTTTCATAATCAAATAAATTTTTCAAGAAGTTCGTTATTGAGAGAAGAGGAACTTTAATTAGTAAATAATAATTGGATTCAATAAACGTATGGGCGGAAATTCAATAATGAGGCCAAAAAACATGTATTTTGATCGAATAAAACTTCTACTTAAACTTCTACTTACCGTATAAATATCGAATAAAACTTCTACATAACGGATCATTATTCTGATGATTACTGCTAAAATTAGATGTGATAATTTATTTTCCTATTATAATATTCACATTTAATTTTATCATTATAATGACTTGATGCAAGGCACTTCGGTGTCAGATTGTGTTCAATATTTCAGCTTCTAGACACGTGATGCAGGCAGCCGTGGCAGCGATATGACGTGGAGATGATGTCTGTCTTGAATAAACCACGCCTGCCGATGAAGGCTCTGAGATAAGTTAATTAATACTGAACCATTTTCCCCCTCTATGTCAATACTGAAGGGACTGGAGAAGTGTTATCTTCATAGATACTTGCGCTTTTAAAGGTAAACTAATTATGCCGATTTGATAATGAATATTGAAGATAAATACCGCCGGGAAACATAAACATAAGCTAGAAAATTTTCTCTAACTAGTGTCATTTTACAGTTTCAATTATGGCCTGTATAGGTAAAGTTTTGTAGCAGACATTATAATTTTGGCAGAGATCTGTGAATTATTCAAGTGCTTCCATCTTAATGTTACTCTGTAGGGGCGTTAGATATTCCACCAGCAACTGTCAACATGTTACTGAAAAACATAATAATATAATTTCGAGAAATTTTCCGTCCTATGTTAAGTTGACCTATTATGGTCAATTTACATATATATGACATATAATTTGTGAAAGACAAGCTGCAATATCAAGCATACATGGCAAGGCTTTATAAAATTTATCAGGGGTTCGTATAACCAAGGTATCATAAACTCAATAGAATTTTACGTCTTCCTCTTTATCAGTAGAGGTTTTACATTTTTATTGAGTTAAATGCCGTAGCAAAGTATCTATAGTACGAAGCACTTGCCTCAAAACGTCCTTTATCGGAAATTTTCATTTTTTTGTTAGATTTTGTATAAAAACTATTGCTCAGCGCCGGCCATTTTTATGGCAGATATCAACTTGTGCTTCATCGCTCCAGTTTATGGGATTTATATTCTGAGTAATTCCCTCGGCATGGTCAATGAGCGGCTAAAATAAATTGCGTCATGGAACTTTAATTGGTTCACTGTAATACCGGACAAATATTTTGTTATAAAATAAAAATATATATATTAAAGTGAATCCGAGGCCTCCGCCGGTGCTTTTAGGTATTTTTTTACGGGAAGCTTGTATTTGCATCTATTGTGTTTTGAATGCCGTGTCGCTTCATACAACTGTCGCTGCTGTGTCTTGTATAGTACACTTTGATGGCGGAAATTTAAATTTATGCTACATTTTAGGTGAGTTTTTAATGGTGGTTTATGCCCAGTGGACATGAGTTTGCATTTATTACTTGTGATGGAACTGCCGACCAGTTTACAACGAGATGTCGCGTTCTTTGAAGAGACTCTAATGCTAATAAAACATTTTTTCAATAGACTTTTTGAATCATTATATATACATAAGTGAAAGTTCAATGATCAAATATAAGCGAAAGTTTAATGAGTTCAGACTAGAGCCTTAGTGTGTCATCGGGTAATTTTCTCTCATACTATATCAAGGAAATTATTTTCTTGTTATAAATATTTCCTTCTTCAATGAAGTTCTCGACAAATTCCCAGTAAAATTACGACCTTGTAGATGGGGAAGCTGGTCTCTAAATCTTTCTTTTATAAAATTTTGTATATTAGTTGTATTAAATTTTAACTATTTTACACTTAACCCTATTATTTAGAGAACCTGCAAATTGAAATTCAATGTCATTATCTAAAAATTGAATACTTAAACTATATATACTAGAGGGACTAGACGGCTGTCAGCGTCGTATTGTTCAAAGTATTGAATATTTCTCAAAAAATGAAGCAGATGATAATTAGGAAATAACTAATGATTTTGTACTACTATAATTATTCACAACAAATGATTAATTGTTTCATTAATTTATATGCGCATGATGCTAGCAGTATTAAATTTTCTCTGGCTTCCAAATTTAGATAATCCCAGCGGATTGTCATGAATTGCTTCAATTCATTAACTGTAACGTAAATTTAAATTAACTGTATAATTAATTAATTATACAGTTAACATTACTTGCCTATGAATATATAATTCATGAACCATGTAATTACTATGAATGGCCTTTGTTCGATTGCACGCTCAATATAGTCAAAAGATCGTTTGATGCGCTGCCGGAGAGTCGATTACTGCAAACAATTGCAATTAATTGGTGAAGCCATGCAAGATGTCATTTTAATTCAAATCTTGTGTTCTCGGATTTTAATTGATAATCGATTGATTGACGATTGTATAATTATATTTTGATTACTCTCTCTGTCGTCCCCAGAATTTATATAACAAAGTATCATTTTTAAGAGATCATACCTCATATGCTATGCAATACCGTAATTCTATTGGCTGGTCAAGCTCTTTGTAAACTCGAATTTTTTCCTCATCTCAAGCCAATAATTATTCTATTGAAATTTGAGGGTAAGTGCTTGTGAGATCATTATTTTATTATGTTTATCGTAACGAGTGAGTTTGGTTTCCAGATTAAATTATGGATTTAAATAAATTGATGAATATCATTGATCACTCATCAGAACCAGTTAACAGCTGAAAAATTTATTTCCTGCCTACATTCTTAGCTCAAATATTCCGCTAGGTTCTCATCAAGGATTACGTGTATGCCCCCAAATTATCATACATTTATACATTTATCACTTTAATTACATTATAATCATACATTTAATTATTATTCATTAATTAATTATACATTTAATTCTTTAGCAATTATTACTTTGATTACATTTATCATCTTGCAATTAAAGGTAGATAGTTGGCAGAGCACTGGGACAACCTTCACACAGATAAATAAACAAGACAGAACTGAGTGAGGGGTCAGAACTGAGTGAGGGGCCAGAACTGAGTGAGGGGACAGAACTGAGTGAGGGACCAGAATTGAGTGAGGGGACAGAACTGAGTGAGGGAGCAGAACTGAGTGAGGGGACAGAACTGAGTGAGGGGTCAGAACTGAGTGAGGGGCCAGAACTGAGTGAGGGGCCAGAACTGAGTGAAGGACCAGAATTGAGTGAGGGGACAGAACTGAGTGAGGGAGCAGAACTGAGTGAGGGGACAGAACTGAGTGAGG